AAAAAAAAATCGCTGTACCAAAACTTTATTGATTGACTGTATGTGTTAACCTACATATGTATGCTTGTACACATGTAAATTTAAATCTTTAAATGCAATATTTTGTTCTTTTTTATTACGCGTCTACGTGCGGCTTGAAATGCATAATCTCAAAAATGTCCCCGACATGCTTATCTGCACGCTCTAAAATTTGCACGCAATTGAATTTACAATATTATGCTCAATAATAACAAAACGACAACCAAAACTACATATGTATGCTTTATGAAACTGTCCCACTGTTTGTGCTCTGCTGTGATGTTCCGACTTGGCTTAATTAATACCGGGCTATACTCTCTCTTTCATCGCCGAACACAGGAAGCTGGGTGCATCCTGGAGAATATGCTTCTTCGGGTAGGTATCAAGATTCATATATCTATGGATTTATTTATGTCACATGTAAATACATTAAACACCAAATAATAACGGTAATCGCTTAAGTCGAAAGTCTTAACACATTGAACAACTGAATTGGCTACACTTATTCAACTAGCCCATTGATTGGGTGCTAAATCAATTATGTAGAATATTTAAATTGCAAGAACAATGTATAACCGAATTCATCATCTCTTTTGTCATCCTGTTCCTTTCTCAACAACACATGCATTTTTGTTGAATACAAAAACCAACAACAACGAACGAACGAACGAATACACATACTCGCGCATGCGAATACATAAATACATAAACATATGCAAATACTTTCCGATATTTTTGGAATGTCTAAAACAATTAACCTGTGTGTTTCGCATGTGCGCATTCTTTGGATATTCGAATCGCGCAAATGTACTGGCTACTCAAAATTCCTTTGCGATTGATGTCGTTCGTAAAGCTAATGACAACTATTTTGGTAAGTTACGCTTCATTTTTTTTTGTTTAGTTTAATATATTCTGCGTTGAAGTGGAACACTTCGTTGAAGACGTTATTTTACTGGTAAAGTAGAATTATATGTTTTTAGTATAACATTTTTTGGTTTTATAACCTCGGTTTTGGCGATATGTTGCTCACTGATTATGAATTTTAATTGTATTTATTTTATGATTGGGAAACTACCTTACGCCCGAAAAAGTAGATAGCCTGGCAAACCCAAGAACATTTTTCATACAAAATAATAAAAGTTTGTTTTCGTGTTTCGAAGTAAATTTAAGTGTTTCTAGAATTCGAGACAAACACATTTTTCATCTGCATTAGTAATAAACTAAAAAGCATGTTAGAGAACGACCGAATTCCGACTTTGGCCATAAGTTCGGTTCAGCTCATGTTTTCATATCCTGCCAACATGAATTTATAAAATACATTTTGTGTATGTATGTATACATTTTAACCACATTTAAATAGTGTTTGACAGGAAAACGGGCGTATGTATGTGGTGATTTTTGTAGTTGGAAAAATATAAAATTTTTGTATAATAAAATCGTATAAATTATTATATTAGTCACATTTTTGTTAAAATTCGTAATAAATATCATCTTGTACACTCACATTTACTAATACATATAAGCATTTTAATAATATCCCTACCTTTCATTGTTTCACACTAAGTTGCTTTGAATTTAATTGAATTTTAAATTTATTTTGTCATACACTATGTATTTAATTTCGCACAATCTGTTGGTGTATACGGTTTATTGAAGACGCTTATATTTCGCACTTGTTTCAGGCATGGGCAAGGAAGTGGAAAATCTTATCATGGAAAATAATGAACTCTTGGCAACGAAGTAAGTGCAACGGCAACAATCCTCTTCTTCATATCCGACTGTCATAAATTCTCCCAATATTTACAGGAATGCTCTGAATATTGTTAAGGATGATTTGATTGCCAAAGTGGATGAGCTTACTGGCGAGATAGAAATATTGCGTGAAGAATTAAATGCAATGCAGCAATCGCGCAACAAACTGCGTCAAAAGGTGAGCGAGCTTGAGGAGGAGCTGAAAAAAACAAAGGAACAAGTAAAGCAACAGAGTAAGTTCTCATTAATTTGATTTATCTTGCGTTTTTTAATTGCTTTCTTTTTGTGCTTGTCTTCAGATGACAGTGAGCAGGATGAGAATGATGTGCCATTGGCTCAGCGTAAACGCTTTACGCGCGTTGAAATGGCAATGGTATTGATGGAGCGCAATCAATATAAAGAACGTCTCATGGAGTTGCAGGAAGCTGTACGTTTAACGGAGATTTTACGCGCTTCTCGCACCGTCGATAACTTGGACAAAAAGTCAAAACAGAGCATTTGGAAATATTTTAGCAGTTTATTCACGTACGTATCGTAACTGTTGCGTTTTTTGCCTAAACTTTTTAAAATAAAAATACATTATTCTAAATCCTTTATAGCCCCTCCAATCGCCCGCAGGAACGTGTCGCTGACGGGCAAGGAGGGGGGCCGATGTTTCGTTACTCCAGCCCAGTTCACAGCCATGGATCCCCCAGTCGAAGTAGCGACAATCGCCTTGCCTTAACGGGTGTTCGCGACAATGCAAATCCTCCACCACATCCTGCAAGCGCCGGCCTGGCAAACGCATTAATCATGGCGAAAGACTACTCCGACGAGGGTACTTCTGAGCGCGCCAGCGCACGGCGACGCGAACAATATCGACAGCTGCGTGCTCATGTACAGAAAGAGGATGGCCGTTTGCAGGCTTATGGCTGGAGTTTGCCCATAAATAAGACAAGTCAGGAGCAGCAAAATCGCCATAGTGGCGGCGTACCAGTGCCAGTCTATTGTAATCCGTTGGCGGAGGCGTCGCCACATATGAAAGTTTTCTGTGCCGCTGGCGTGAACCTTAATGGCGGCTTTACAAAGGATGGTCAATCAGTTATACCGGCAACGTCACCGTATGCACCACGTTCAACGGCTAAAATCGCTGAGATTACCAGCCCGACGGCAGAACATTCAGCCGAGGCGCTCGATCGGCAGATAAATCGTGCGAGTCTGGCCAACTTAGAACCGGAAACACAGTTGTCGTCGTACATTTGGATCTGCACAAGCACACATGCGGCAAGCACTGTCACAGTTGTAGATGCTAACCAGTCAGCGGTTGTGTTGGATGCGTTTCCCATTTGTGCATCGCACATGCTCTGTATCGCCTCTGTTCAAGGTGAGTTAATAAATGAGTGCGACTGGGCCACACTGAGGAAGTAAAACTACGTTCGAATTTCATAATGTTCATTGCAAGTTTGTAAAATTCACTCTCAATATAAGCGCTAAGCGAGAAAATAAGTGTCACAATTTTCTATTCAATTCACATCCGCCGCTAAAGAAATTTTAATGTATTTTATTTTTTATTGTACTCCTATCTGTAGGTGCTGTGGAAAAAGACTACGCTTTGCTAGAGAACTCTGAAGTATTAAAGGCCGGTGAAATGTTAGAGCATCCCGGCGAAGGTGCCGAATCATTCGGCAAGGTTGAGTTTGTACGCGTGCGGCCAAAAGCTGATAAGAACAGCAACACACGCAAGGACGCAAAAGCAGACGAGCAGGCGCAAGAAGTGATAGCTATTGAAACGGCCGCTGTTGAAGAGAATGCAAAGGAGGCTGTGGAAAAAACAGCAGAAGGCACAAAGAATGTGTCCATTGAGCCGTTGGGCAATATACAAGAGATTAAGGTACGACAGGCACTGCCAGGCGCACCGCAACGGCTGCAGGATGACGGCAGTGTGACCGGCGCTAAAGCGAACATCAACAACAACAACTTGCAGCCATCCTTCTCGAAGCCCATCAATCCGATTTTGGGTACGAAAAATCGCCAAGAGCCGCCAATGAGTTCCGTGGGGCCGACCATGTGGATGGGCGATCAAGAAGGTTGGCTGTACGTGCATAGTGCTGTGGGTCGTTGGCATGAGTGCTTGCACAAGGTTCTTCTGCCCGATGCCGTCCTAGCGATAGTGCATGTGGAATCGCGCGTTGTTGTGGCTCTAGCCAACGCTCAATTAGCAGTGTTTCGCCGCCAAACAGACGGTCAATGGGATCTGAATTGTTATCATCTGGTAACGCTGGGTGACCGTAATCATTCGATACGTTGCCTCTGTGTGGCCGGCGAACGCATTTGGGCCGCACATCGCAACAAGATCTATATTGTTGATCCGATATCACTAAGCATAGTCCACTCGCTGGAAGCGCATCCGCGTAAGGAGAGCCAAGTGCGACAAATGGCTGCTACCGGCTCCGGCGTTTGGGTCTCCATACGGTGAGTTAAATGCATACAAATATATGCACAGAGGTGAATTTATTTGAACATGAAAGCAAAATACAACTACTATATGGAATTGAAACATTGACACTTTACAGTTTGGACTCTACATTGCGATTGTACAATTCGTACACTTTCGAGCATAAACAGGATGTTGATATCGAGCCGTACGTTTCGAAAATGCTGGGCACTGGCAAATTGGGTTTCTCTTTTGTCCGCATCACTGCATTGATGGTATCATGCAATCGCTTGTGGATCGGCACCAGCAACGGTGTCATAATTTCGGTGCCATTGTCAGAGGGTCAAGGCAAATCATGTAAGTCAGAAATGTAAAAAGTTATACACCTGGAAAATTGAATTGCATTATTTCTATCGTTCCTTTTGCAGCTGACCCCAATAGTCAAATACCGTTATGTTGCATGGCGAATGCACAGTTGTCCTTCCACGGTCATCGTGATGCGGTAAAGTTCTTTGTGTCCGTGCCGATGCAGCCACAAAATGGTGGCCAATTGCAATTTACCAACAAACGGCCGGATATGCTAGTCATGTGCGGTGGTGAAGGGTACATCGATTTCCGCATAAGTAAGTAAGCTGCTCATTAGGGAGCGTACGCCATAGCTAGATAAATCTACGAAAGTGTAGAGCGTGTATGTAGTTTGTTTCCCGAAAGCAACAAATACCGCTTCTGCTAGTTGTAGTGTGCGCGCTCTTTCTTATGACTATGCTGCATATAGATGACTATCGAAAAATCTCTGTAATTTCCACACTTCTTACTGGATTTACTGTTTTTCCCCATACCATATATTTTTATTATATTTATTATAATTTATGTATGTATGTATATCGAAAATATTTTCATATACATATATGATTGAATGCTTACCAAATTTTAATCACACACTGAATTGACCTTATTGTTGTCTGCAGGGCCAGAAAAATCCATTACTGATCCTGGTGATAATGAAGCGCATTTGATAGTTTGGAAAGTTGATACGTAAGCCCTTCTTTAAGAATTTTAATTTGATTTTGTTGTTGTTTTTTTTTTTTAATATATTTTACTCCTTTATGTTGCCAATGCGTAAAATTTATTTGAAACTCAAAAAATTAAAAAATAAAAATTAAATAATAAATTTTGTAGTCGAAAACTTTAACAAATTGCTTTTTAACACATCTAATTCATTATTAAAACATTTTTTGAAGTAAAATCATATTCTTTGTTTTATATACGTTATTTTTCTTTATATCTCTTTTGTTTTTCAAAATTCTTGTAGTACGTATAATTTGTAGTGATTGAGAGATGTGGATAGTACTCTGAACCAATGTGTTATCACAGTGCGACCTCATAGAAGATGTACTCGTAATCGTTGGTAGTTGCGTGCTACTGTGCTGCATATGTATGTGAAAAATCGTGCCTTAACCCATATTAACCTCAATTCACATGCACAGCGTAGCAAATTTTTTTGATGCAGCGGCAGCGACCTGATTCAATATCAAAAATAAGGTTTTCACACTTAAATAATTTAAAAGCAGTTTGTTGCAATCCCTTTATGTTTTACACCTACTTATTTGTTTTGAATTGTCTTACACTATTGTATATTGTCCGCGTTCCTGCTTCCTGTTTATCATTGTTGTAATTGGTTTAGTTTTGGCCCCTATTGATTAATTTTATCGCCAAAAAAAATAAGACTCCAGCGGTGAATGGGACTTAAAGCTCAAATATAATTTAATGACAACTACGACTGTTCTCTCTATTCCCCCCTATTAGTTCTTAAATAATTTACTGATGTAGTTTTGTTTGTTTTTTATTAATATGCGTATTTTATTTTGCACTTTTGTGTACATAACATTGTCGTGATCTTATTCTGCTTATGACGGTCACAACTTAATTTGTGGTTAAATAAACTGGCTTCAAGAGAAAAGTCGAGCTGCACAATAATAACAGGTCTATTCTGCACGTTACCAAAGATTTTGTAACCGGAAAATTTTATTACCAAAAAATGTTACCAGTTCTTGTCACCGCGATTCTAATTACTTTGGTAATGCAGTTAAAATATTCAGCAATTCAGCTATGAAGAATTGTGGAGATTCTGGCATTGCATATTTCACGCGGCAATACTTTGTTACCAGCTTATGAGATGGTAAAAAAATTTACCGCTTACAAGAGTACACAGAATTCGAAAAGGGTTTAAAATTTGAGGAACTTAACTTACCGGTTACAAAACTTTTATTACCAGCGCAGAATAGACCTGTAAATGAGAATTATATAAAGGTATATCTATGTACATTTGTAGGTATGGGCGTTGCTTGCTCCTCGTAAGAAAATTATGTATTTATAAAGAATTTACGTCATCCTCTGTCACTTTGGTTTAGAGAAATTCCACTTTCGCCTTTGTGCCAGCTTCACATATTCAGGCGTTAAACTTTTTTGAAGACTTAAAACATTTTTTTTTTAATTCCAAGCAAATCTTGGTTAGTTATCTAAGTATGAAAAAGAAACACAACCAATCAACAGTAGCTACAGACGAGATAATTCATCCATGTGGAAAAGTAATATCCGCTAAAGGCGACATAGAACATGGTCTACTGACGAAACTATGTATGTACATATTGTAATGAAGGTGCGCATTTTTGATGTTATTAACAGAAACGAATTGCATCTTTCAAACATTTCTCCCTCAGAGCAATAAGGCCGAAACCACAAATATTTGATAAACTCAGTTTCGTTTTACATTTACCATATTGCAGTAAGAACTTTATCTTGATGACGAAAAATGCTAGATAACTGATTTTCATGTTATTTATCAAGCCAATTCAAGAACGACATATTTCAAGGAGTGACCTTATTACTCTGGGGTGCAATTTCTGAACGAATATAAAAAGAGATTCTCTAAATCTTGTTAATAGATATTGCCTGTTTTTCGATGAGAAAAAAGATCAATTTGGGTACAGATATAACCCGATATTGCTAGGAGGCTTTGTTAATGTACATAGATTCATTTCTTATGACTAACAAAATCAAGCTTCCCGTTAGCGGACTAATTTCAATGCTCGTTATTGTCGCTTCCAAAGGTTAATAGTTAATTATTACTAAATATATTAATTATGTTAAAAGCTTGGTTGGAATATATAGTTAGTAGTTTGCACATATTTGTTAAAATGTTTCTCCTATTTTCGGGTGCGCACATGCGACTACATCTTTTTAAACCATGTTTCACTGCGGTCTCGGCAAAAACAAAACTAATTTCACTACAGATGTACCTGCCGTGTTTTACAGCAAGGATTTAAGGCACCACTGCTTTTTAGTATTTTGCAAACGCTGCTTAATATCCTTTACTAAACTTATTGCAATAAATAATGCTTAACATTTTAATATCACCTAAAAATTATAGCTTCACATGAATTCTAATTCCCATTTTTAAATTTACAGATGACAACGACATGGAAAGCAGTATCCAATTGGAGGCAAATCAAACGATTGATAATCGCGGCGATAAGAGTTATTTAATTGTGTGGCATGTTAGTCAACGCTAGTTTTTAAGTCCGTAGACTTTTACGAAAAGAAGTTGAAACAGCTAGAGGATCCTTTCTGGATTTTTATATAGACGGGATGCAAGCCATCGGAGGCACGAATAATAAATGATTTCTAAATAAAAATATGCAAATGATAATCCCAGTTAAAAAGTGAAAGCAAACAATGAAGCTAATAGAAATAACTTGCATATATATACATACGTATGTATGTATGTACATATGTAACTCGTACAGAGGTGGCATACAAAATGTGGTATTTGTAATTCGCTTTGCGCCATTTAGCAGTTCATGGTACACACTTTGATTTAGCTTGTACGAAATGTGTGCGCTTTTTGGGACAATGCTTTCAGTTTTTTAAATAAATGAAGGGGTGAGTAGTTATAGCTTAAGCTTTACTTGCAGTGATAAAAACTCAAACCGGTCTAGTAGACATTATTTTAAAAGAAAAAAAACGAACCAAAAAGACGTTTGAACGTTTTATGAATTACATAATTAGTACGTAGGCCCATTACGACCTCAATAAGATATATATTATATTGCAGTCGTATGATGTGTATTAATCAAATAAAATTAATAACTTAGACCTTTGTATGAGTGTTCTTCAGCAACGGCCACAAAAAAGTAATTGTACCGTGTGCAAAAATAGAAAAACAACAGCTACCTTCTGAGGACGTAAAACTAACAATAAAACGTAATTTTCTCTCATTTTCGATATAACAGAAGTATGCATAGTTATGTATTTATTTAACAGAAGTAGGATTATGTATGTGTTTTCTCTGCTTTCATATGATTTGGGGTCTTTTGCTTAGAGGCGACGATTTATGTCCTAAGAATATTCGACTAATAGTTTTTATTTTATGTAACTTGTTTTTAAGATATTAAATTATAAATATAAAAATATTTTGACGTTTGTTTTTTTTTACTTGACATACCGTCATACAGAAGATATATTCAATATGAATACGCCTTGGTCATGCATATTTTATATCTTATTTGCGAATGTATGCGCATGCGTATTGTCTCATTTGTTAAATTCGTTTGTAAGCATCAACATTACGAAATTGTACCTACATATTTTACATTAATTTTTAATAAAAGCAATATTTCAAAGTTATTCCGTTTTTATTTTGTTTTAATTTTTACTTAACTGGCTCAGCAAATGCAAAAAAATTATGCCCTACAGCGTTTTCAATGCAAAAGGAATAGGAATACCTTAAAAATACAACATATCGCACACCTAGGTCTAAAGTGAGCTAACTCAAACATCAGAGAGGGAAATTTAACTGCTTGTGGATCGTACAGGCTCAACACAATACAAGAACAGGTATAGCAGTAGTTTTTTGTTAATGTATATAATCGTGAAGAAAAAAAGTTTCCTTTAATTGGATGTGAGTCCTATAAATTGATTTATGCGAAAAAATCGCCCAAATTTTTTTTTGAGTTGATCGCACTTTATATGTACATAGGTGTGCGATATGTATATTGGCATAGTTCGAACAACCCGCCGTAGCGTCTTTAACGCTATGAACGTAATATTCGTCTATGTGAAACTTCTTATTGTCGACAGCTTAACCTATAATCGCTATATTAAAATGTCATTATGGCCCTTGCATTGATTAAAAACAAAAGTTCAAAAATATAATTACGTTTACCCTTCGAAAAGAAAAAAAAATATAATCTATGTATACCTACATACATATATACATATTAATTAACATAACACATCAGAGTAATTTGTACTTAAAAATGAATAAAATTATAAAATCTAAATATTCGTTTTTAAATTTATTGCAAACTGTTTCGCTTACTTAATTGAAAAAGAAAATCCAATGTCGGCATGAAGGTTAACATAATGTGTACATAAATATTCTTTAAACAGTAGTATAAAAATCACCAATATATTATTACATACATGCATATATACTATACATCCTATATACATATATACAAATAAATAACTTAAAAGATAATTCACTTAAAAGTGTGTGTTTCTGTCTTGGCTATACGCGGTACACGATGGCATATAATTAATAATTAATTTCTATCATGAAAAAAATTCTCATAAAATCCATTTTGTCGTTCGGAGGTGGTGTAACACTGGGTTTGTGTAATAAAATCAAGACGAACACCACAAAATGGAGAAGTTGGGCCAATCACTTAGCAAAATTGTAAGCGCCAAAGCATTATTATTATTAAAAGAGTCCGAACTACTAAAAACTGATATTTAGTTAGCATCACGTTTTTTCTGCCATCAAACAAAATTCCAACAAACTTGCTGGTTTTTGAGTCCATTGTTGGAAGTACTCCTGCTTTGCCAGTGTCCATGCCCTTTGATATTCTTTTGCTAGCTGCTTATATTGATTGTATTTCATTTCGGCTAGCTTATTAGGATCGATTTGAAATTTTTTTATCAACTTTGGTTCTATCCTCAGAAGCGCCACAAACTCATTTATAAGATGATATTTGGAAATTTTAAGAGCGGCCTGTGGGGTGTTCACCTTTTTTCTGGTAACGCCTTGTCGCTTACCATTCACAGATATTTCATAAGGTCTTTGGAGAAAATTATCCAGTTAAGAGTAATGTAATAATTTTTTAACAAAATTTGCCTAACCTTAAATTCTGATCAATGCTGCACCAGGATAGTCCGGTAGGCGATGGGTTCTGTCTGTTGATATTCGCTGCATAGTCAAATATAACCGCTTCAGCAAAATTTATATCCGGATTTTGAATCTTAAACCTGCTGGTATGAAACTCTCTATCAACAAAACGACCACATATGGCACGTCTTATAGCTAGCTCGTTTTGAGGGATACCACAAAAGTTAAGGGACTTGAAGTAAATAGGTTCAACAAGTAGCGCATCCAGCAGCGCTCCCTGTACGCCAAGCACATTCCAACGTGCTAGTTTATCGCTGCAAGACATGGAAAGTGTGCGATCGCCACGTCCGGGTTTTGTGCGCATGGCGCCAATGTTTTGCTGCATAGCATCCTGCTGAACACCTAAGCCGATAAGTTTTGCACCAGTGTAGACAAGACTACCGACAGAAGAATCCAAAGTGGACCCTACGTTATCAGCAAAGTTGGATGTTTTATGTGCGTTTTCGTAATAAACTTTTCGCTGTTTAGCAACAGCTGCTCCGTCATCATCTTCATTCCTATGAAGTGCAACGGTGCTCACTTGTTTCTCATCCAAGATGCAGGCATCCCCGCAAGGTGTTTGGGTGCTCAAAAAATGAAAACTAAGGTTTGGTCGTAGTCGGAATGCTACATTTTCGGCATTCCATTCAAAAATACAGTCATCATTTACTAGATTTGATTGTAAAGCTTTTTTCAAGTGATGGTATATGTAGCGTAGGAAGGCTCGTCTTGCTAGAATTTCAGCGTGTGAGTCGTTCAAGATCAACCCACTATTGCAAAGCTTACTTTTACCTATACACTTCGTGCCACATCCTATTGTTACAACATTAGTTTTTTCTTCGGTGGCATTATGGAGCAGGATCGCCGACAAGATAGTCCATTCATTGGCAGCAGGCTTCCCGGTTTTTGGTAAGAGGTTAAACTGTTCAAAAACCAGCCCGGCAAGAATTTCAGTGTCCGGGACACCCATGATAAAATGTGGTTGGTATATAACACAAGTGGAATGAAGCTGCGTTTACATAACGCGATTTACATGATTCAGGTATTTGAAAGCAATTCTAGCTCATCCTCTTTTGTATTTTCTTTTTGCTTTTATACGATTCAATTCTGTTGAAATCAAGTTTTTGGTTCTTTAAATGGGAACCAACGAAAATGTCAAAAGTAGTGATGGGTGAGCCCGAGATGTTTTAGTCGATTGTCTCGATTGTTCAAATATCTCGATTGTCCTCGATGTTTTCTCTCGTAGACGATTTGCCACCCGAAAAAAGTCGTGCTTAAGCTGAACAACATATTCGTTAACAATCGACCAAGTCATCTCGGTCTCGCTGCTGGCCAGCGGTTGTTAAAACATCTCGATGATTCTCTGTCGCAGACTGTGGCAACGAATTGCCAGTCGCGTTTAACATTCGATAAAAATCGGACTCGATAAATCTCGGACTAGCCTTTGGAAGTTTTGGCAACCTCTCATACGAGGTTTTGCATTTTCTTGATACGTTATGTACTTATGTTTTAGGATTTTTTGCTGAAGTGGTTGCGGTTTTCTTCCATCTACAAGTAAATTATGTTTATTAAGTCGATTATTGACTCGTTTGTAATTTTGCAACGATAGCGACTCTCTCGATCGTTTAAACATCACGGACTCGCCCATCACTAGTCAAAAGCAAAGCAAGAAAGTAGAAACCAAGGTGGTAGAAACGACTTGACCAAGGCGAATTTATACAAGGTGGTCAAGACGAATTTACACAAGGTGGTGTTACTGGCGAATTTAGATTATAACAACCACCACATGTATTTTGTATTGCGGGTGTTATGTCAAATCTCAATTCGCCCAAAATTTTACATGTATTTTGTTTTTGCTTTTGATGGGTGTGCTGTCAAATCGGTAAAAGCAAAAACAAAGTACATATAAGGCGAAGAAATCAGCTGATTTTACATCACCACCTTGTATAAATTCTTGATTCATGGTTTTGAGAAAAATGTTTCCGGAAGCGGGTTCGTCAGCTGAGCGTTTGTTTACACCACAAGCACCACTATATTACACTTTTATTTAACTTAAGAAGAGTAAATTCAACATGACAACACATTTTAAACCGTTTTAAAAATTAATATTACCGAAATTGTGTGCTCAAAGTGGCTGACAATAATTTTGGTTTTCATTGTTTTCTTTTCGCTCGTTTTCCAGCGAAACTACTTTTTTCGTTCTCTTGTTCGTGCGTGATCTTGTGTCGTTCGTTCATGACTGTCAAAAATCGCGTAACCTACCAAAGAGAAAAAAAACCTCTCTGTTTTGGTTGGAAGAGGCAATAGTGGCAACACTGATAGGTACGACAGTTTCAGCTTTTGTTTTATTTCCACGTTTATCAATTCCTCTTTCTCATTTTCTTTGAAAAAAGGGAAAAACAAAGTTCGTGAACTTTGTTTTTTTTAGATAATTGCTCTTGGGTTCTTGATTTAAAATGCAAACTAAGATGGTGCAGGACACAATGGACTCCTATCAAGGATATACTGAGATTCGTGTAGAGAAGCGAGAGAAAATTTTATTGATAACCTTTGACAATCCAAAAAAGCGCAACAGCATCAACAGAAATGGATACAAAGAACTTGGCAGAGTGCTGCGGGAAGTGGCCGACGACAATGAAGTGACCATAGTGGTTTTCACTGGGAATGGAGATTACTTTACATCGGGAAACGACTTAACTCAATCAGCAAATTCTTCCTCGGACATTGAGCTGTACATCAAAGAATCAAATAATATATTTAAAGGAATGATAAGGGCTTTAATTGACTGTCCTAAACCAACATTATCGTTGGTAAATGGACCATGCATTGGCGTTGGAGCAACGCTAACAGCATTATGCGACATAGCGTGGTGTTCATCAACGGTAAGCAAATTTTTCGCCACCTATTGACTGAGGAAAAAATTTTATTTTAAACTTTTTAGGCTTATTTCCTAACGCCGTTTACTAAATTGGGGATTGTACCGGAAGGATGTTCTTCGTATTTGTTCGCATTAATACTTGGACGGTCAAAAGCGAGCGAGATGCTGTTGATGTCAGAAAAACTGACTGCTGAGGAAGCTTACCATTATAATTTCGTATCAAAAGTTTTCGATTTGACTGAATTGGATACGGTTGTTTGGCCAAAGATTAGAGAATTCTCAGAATTGCCTCCGGATTCATTAAGAGTTTCTAAATCGCTTATGCGGTTAAATGAACGAGATGTCTTGTATCGTACATTGGATGCAGAAAATGAAGAACTTTACAAACGATTTTTCTCTGAAGAGTTTGCCAACGCAGTGATAGCTTTTGCAACGCGGAAAAAGAGATCCAAATTGTGAAATGTGGCAATGATCCAAACATCTTAAAATTGCACAAATCTGTGTCCAAAAGTTGCGCCTTTGAAAATTTGTAACCTAATCATATTTAATTTTAAAATGATGGCAGTTACCGTGTCTCACAGCCTTAAAATATGTATATGTAGAATGGACTAAATATTTAGCTGTAAATGTATGCGTAATTTGAATTTCAACCGTGAGCGTCCAGGCTAAATAAAACAAAAATATTTAATGTATTTAATATTGGAATAAAAATTTTAATGTAAGGTTAAAATAATATTAGCTTTTAAATAAATGTGCCTCATTTTTCATTCTCATTTTTTATAAATTTCATCTTAAATCCGTCGAAATACGGATGCTCAAGAATGTCTTTAGCTGAAATGCGATGAACCGGATCATAGATAAGCATTTTTTGAATCAAATCTACACCTCGATCGTTCAAATTTTTCAACTGGTTCGTTAGCTGATTTGTCGACCAACAAGGAAAAGTATTTTTATAGTCTGGTAAAGATGTCACCCCAGGCCAAGTTTCTTCAGTTGGAGTTTTCAAAATTCTGAATATTCGGAAAAGCTGGTCAATTTCCGAATCACCTTGGAAAAGCGGTTTTCTTGTAGCCATTTCAGCAAATATGCAGCCAATGGACCATATATCAACTGGGCAAGAGTATCGCTGAGAACCCAGCAAAACTTCTGGTGCCCTGTACCAAAGAGTAACAATTTCATGAGTGTATATGCGAACTGGAATGCCGAAAGATCGGCCAAGTCCAAAGTCCGCCACTTTTATGACGCCCTTTTTATCTATAAGTAAATTCTGAGGTTTCAAATCGCGATGAAGGACTCTGCGACGGTGGCAAAATAGAATTGCATTTGTTATTTGGTATAAATAACTTCGCACCAATTCAGTTTCCATTGACTTCTCTGGTGGCAACGAATCCATATATTTCTTCAAATCCATGGACAGGAACTCGAAGATCAAGTACAATCTATTTTCTTCCATTAGAACGTCCTCCAAGCAAACAATGTTCGGATGTTTAAGCTCTTTTAACAGCGATATTTCTCTTATAGCCGTGGATGGTATACCTTCATCGTCAGACTCCAGGCGAATCTTTTTCATGGCTACTATTTGCCCTGTGACACGATTGCGACCCTTGTACACCACGCCATATGTACCCTCGCCAATTTTTTCTATTTTCTGAAAGTCTTCCATATTTTGCGTTCCAATTTAACTACTTGAATCGAAAATAAGTTCAAGAAAGGAAGCTTTCTTAAAAACAAGTGAAATTAAATGTTTAATCCAAAACACAAATTTCGCGCTCACTTAAAATGGAAACGATGGAAAACACACCTATCACATTCCACGAGCATTTCTGCGCTTCCCAGTTTCCAGTGTCAAAAATCAAAATTATCCAGAATACTGAACGAACCGCTAGCGCGAATCGGTTGGTTTGTTCTCCAATCGTTAGTCCCCTTTCAGACTCGTTCGTAGGCAACGTGCCGTCAACTTGTTTCAACTGTTCTTGTCTCTTTTGATCTTTTTGCAGCGTTTTTGGTGCATTTAAAATGCAACATTTAGCACTTTCGAACATATCGATGACTGAGTGGAAGATCGACCTATCTCGGCAGCCAGTTCGAAAACGCTCTATCTCAAAAAAACTTTTCAAGAACGCAATATTTCAGAATTTAATTGAAACACACCCTATCTAAAAATTCGGTTCAAAAACGCCCTATCTCCCTTCAAAATGTATTAAAAATATGCTGATATAGGGCGTTTTTGAAACGAATTCTGAAATAGGGCGTTCTTGAAAAGTTTTTTGAGATAGATCGTTTTCGAACTGGCTGCCGAGATAGGTCGATCTTCCACTCAGCCATCGATATGTTTTCGAAGAGCGTTCATGCTATCGCATCTAGCAAATGTACATTTACGCGAGTTTGAAATCGTGTGCTTTTGACAAACAGCCGTGTTCCAGTCGCTTATTCAGATCCGTATCTATTACGATCAATTCTCACTGAAAAGATAATGTGCAAAAAACCCGACTGAAAAGGAAAGAATAGATTTTAAACCAAAAATTCAATACAAAATCTTGAATTGTTTTAATCATAACCGAAAATTTGTTTGTGTATATATTCATTTGTCGGTGCTGTCAATTAAAATTTCCTCACTTAATTAGAAAACAAAACAAACAGAGTTGATCACAAATTAATCCAGATTTGGTACATTTGTACAGATTTGTTAATTTTGGCAGTTACAGAGTGATGTTCTTTAGAAATTTGAGTTCAGTTCAATAAAAGAATTTCCAAACAACACTACTCTGTTACTGCCAAAATTTACAAATCTGTACAAATGTACCAATCGTGTGACACTGCTTTAAGAATTTCATCCAGAGTAATCCAATAAGTTTTGTGAAAATTACTTTTATGTGTTTACACTGTTAAACACCAATTTGATATGTGATTTTAGTTAAGTATGCAAATGAATTCAACTGTTACCAAGCTTTATTTTCACTCTGGCTGCGTTTCTTTATACATTCCGGATAATCCCATTCCACAGCCGGAATAAACAGAATGCGTTTGAAATATACGTTAATATATCATCAGGAACGTTCTAAAGAATAAGTAAACAAAAAGTTTATTCCAAACGTTCAGAATGAATAAAGAAATGCAGCCTCTGTATTTTATATAAGAACCAAAAACTTTGAAAACTCATGTTCCACTCGTTTCAATCAGTATTTAGATAGATTTATCGAAGTTCAAGTCATATTTTATCGTCTTTAATACGGAAGTTGGGATTTATTGTCAATTGGCTGGCCAAATTAAAATATGAAGAAAAGAAAGCGGTTGCTAATGATAAGAAATTGAAAGACAAAGATTTTATTTTTTTTTTCGTAGCAACACTGTAAACAAAGGATGAAAGATATGTCAACGGTAACACTACTAGCCGCACCGGCTTCAGCCCCCAATCCCAAAACTCGTTTTCAAAGTGTTTTCATTGTCGGTCCGAACATGGTATAAGAGCCAATTTACAAGACCAATTTTCACCCCGCGTTTTTTTGCACGTACCCTTTTAAAAAGTCTTCGAAAACAGGAAAACGTCAAAAACCCCTCGGTTTCGCTCACCGTGCATGCTCTAGGCCCTGCTGACTTCACTACACTTCTTGACTCATGCTCGACACGCATGACTTTCCACTCAGGGTGAAAAGTCATCGTGTAAATTGGCTCTAGCTTAAAAGTATGTTCCCACGCCACGTAATTCGTTCTCTAACCCCACGTCTCACCTTCTACAGATTCTGTTAAAAAAGCTTTGGTAAGACACAAATGTCAGTTGGAGACCGCAAATTTCCACTGTTAAACCATATCTGTCTTGCCGAATTTCTTACCATCGCTGTCATAACATCAGCTGTCATATCGTGGTTTGATAACTCAGTTTTCATTTTGGTTTAGTGCCATTATGAAAGTGATATGTTAATACAGCAAGTTGTCCACATGAGAAAACCGAACAAAGTGAAAATATAAATTTGACAGATGTTAAGACACATTTAGAAGAAAATGGAGACGTAGGGTAAGTAGTTCGCTAAATAATTTTCGAATAACCCTGTTTCTACGTGTGGTGGGAACGTAGTATAATACATTGAAGTAAAGTAATAAACGCTGACGAGGAATGGCAACCCTGCCATGAAGAAGAAGAAGGAGTCTGCCATTTTTCGGTGAATTAACAAAACGAAGGGAAAGAAATTAATTTTTCCACGAGTGAAACTTTCTGTGCGGAAATCAAACGAAAACAATAAAATATTCTAGTTGATAAAATAGGGTGTACATAAAATATTAGTCGCCAGATTTCTTGTGCAAATTGAATATTCCGATAAGTTGTGTTTGTTGGTGGGGTGTCCGAAAGGCTCAGTCAAATCTATTGCTAATTAAAGTGTGCGAAGAAAATAAAGAGGTGCCGCAGTAATTATAGGGTACGAGGTACGAGGCAGCAGAAAATCGTGGTCGTCGTTCTAGTATCAGTGAGAAGAATCATAGCTGAAGTCAAATAAAAGAGACGTTCATTACTGAGCTGTAGTAGCGGCGTGGTGAGGTTGGCTAGAAGCGGTAGACCACGACACTAGTGATAGTCTGAACGAGGTTTTGATAAAAGGAAAGGCAGCTGTACTTGGCTCTTATTCTTTATTGGTGCGTGGTCCCGAAGACGTCTGTAGTTTGTCCAGGGCAAATTTTCAAGATAGGTGCGCGAGCCTGAGTTGCTTGATTCCTAGCCCCAAGCAAAAATAATAAAATGAAAATCTGAAGGTACGTATCCGGTAAAGAAAACACCAATTTTTATAAATAATAACAGCGGCTATGTTTTGCAAAAGTCTAAAATTCCAGCTTGTGTTTGTTGCTAAAAGTGCCACACAGGCAAGCTGCGTTGATTCGCAGCACACACACACGGCCCTATGTAAAATTGTAAAAAACACGCCGCAAACATTTCATCACGCCACCAACCATGTTGGTCTGTTTCGTGATACGCAATGTTTAGATCAACTCGATGCAATGTTGCACCATACTCTATTTTAATTCATGTGCCACTTAAAAAACTAACAACATTCAGGAAACCTATCTACGTCAAATGTACGTATGTACATATTAGTGGCAAAAAGCGCTACCTCTCTTCACAAATATATTTTAAGGTTATGTTACATAGGTGATCAATTTTGGACAGTAGCTAGGTATTACTGCAAATACGTGAACCTAAAGTTCAGCATACATTTGAATTCATTAAGATTTTCAAAAATACCGGCGGCTTATTATACAAACTTATTTCGATTATGCAAATTTCCGACCAGGCAGTGGGTATAATGTATAGATAACACATTCCGGTGAATTAAGTGTACATATGTCAATACATATGTATAGTATAAGTAATAATATTTAGTATTGTTCTTAAAACACAAATTACATATGTAGAGAGAGTTTATCTTTTAATCCGATTATTCTGAATTTCTGATGGTGGATTCTCAAAATCTTATTATCCATCTCAACTTACTGCAAATTCGTCTTTGAGCTTGCCAAATTTGTTTGGACGGTTATGTAAACTTGTATTTCAAAGGGGCCATCACAGAAAAATTCCAGTACATCCTACCACTCATATTTATTACACTGGGTACAAAAGCTGACTGTGTCTTTTCGTGTGGCCGGTAAGGTGATTCCCATTTATTAAGTTGCAATTAGGGTCATGAGCGCAGACCCTTCTCTTGAAACTTACTTGCAAAAAAAATTTATGGTAACATATGTACCTAGCCCTATGTTCATTTGCGTATAGCTAGTTTCAAAACCTTAACAATTTTTTTTTCTAATTTTCGATTTAGGCCTCTGACTTAAATACTGAACTTTTGCAACACTTGAACGGACTAGTGCTAATTTTGTTATAAAAATGGAATCGCAAGCAGCCACTATCATTAAGAACCCAAACAACAACAACCATGCTGACAACCATAACTTAACACAGCAACAACCTTCGCTACCAAATAACATCCTTGTTGCTACCGCACAGCCATTCACTCCTGCTTCCAACAACAGCAATGGAAACGCTGCTGGCAACAACAACTTGTCTGGCCAACAAGCTATCAATACCGTCGCAGCCGCACAATCTTATACGCCAGTGCCGGCACCTACTGCCTTACATAGTGGAGCCCCCACTTCAGCAGGTCATGCCATCTATAACCAGGCTATGCATTCGCCAAATGTATTTGTACCAGCGTCAGGCGTTCACCAAGCCGGGCCAATGTATGCCACTATGATGCCTGCACAAATTCCCAGCAATGTCTATGTAAACAATGTCACCGCTAATGTCAACTTGCATGGATGGACTCATACAGTGCCAGCGTACATACCGAGTGGAACACCACATTACATTCACGGGGATGTGCCTCCTGATCAGGTTGTTGAATAGTCATATAATTTAATGTAATATATTTGCTAATAGAGCATCTTTCAGAATCCACCTGTTATGCAAGCGATGCCAGCAATGCCAGTAGCCTTAGCTCCTTCAAGCGCCATTGTTGCTGCTGGTGGCAATGGTAACCCCACTTCTCAGATCAGCAGCTT